TATCATATTTTTCTGTGATGTTTAAGTTTTCATAATTAAAGTACCTAATTAATTGTCTTAGATAAATTTTATAAAAGTTTATATGATATACCAATTTGTATAATTTTTGCTCATTTATATTTTCTTCTTAGATGCTAACCCAGTTAAAACTGACAGTTGTAGTATCTTCCATAGAAATCTGGTCAGATAAAAACAAAATTTCTACTACAGGCAATCCTGATCATATATTATTTAGGCTATTAGAATGGGAACAAAAGTTGCTTATACTTCGGCCCCATCACACTACATTCTTGTTTTCGTAAGTATAACATTCTGTAGTTGAATAACATTAAAAGAATAATCATATGTTAATTATTTAAAATAAACTGTTACTTAACATGTACTATATTGCAAAATTTGAAGGGCTCCATGGGAGGTCCTTCTAGCAGTTAATATGAGGGCAAAATTTACAAATTTTAAATTTCCTACTAAAAGTAAGTTTATATAAAAAATGTTGAAATAGCTGAAGTACTTTAATTGTGAATGATACAATTTCTTTGATGTTCCTTGCTCATACAATTTTCTTTTTCATCTAAATAATTCTTTTTATGGCTTCTATCATGGAGGCCGTCGGCTAAACGATGTGCGACAACTGCGCAGACTTGGTGGAGGTGTTAAATGAAACCCAGATCATGGAGCGGCCGGGTGAGAGGTGTCTGGAGACCAGGTCCATGGGGAGAGGCTGACTAGCGGGAAGAGACTGCAGGGGCTGGCCAGGTTGTCCTACTTACCCTGGATGCGAGAGTGCCTTCCTAGCCTAACCATTGGATCCTGGCTTTTAGGTGGGGTCGACCAACTTAGGGACCCACAAGCCCAGCCCAAAGCGTCTCACTACAACCCAGTTGCCCCTGCTGTGCTTCCACCTCTTGATTGACATCCAAGGACAGAAATCCCGCCTTTGAGCCAGACTTAAGGGCCCTAGCACAAGGAGATTCCTATTTAACAGCAACCATGCAACCGCCACTCGTCTGACTGTCGTGCTGTGGTGGTTTGAATTGCTGTGATTCTGAAGACTATGCCACCGGTATTTTAAATAACCAGCAGGGTCACCCATGGTGGACAGGTTTCAGATGAGCTTCCAAACAAAGACAGACGAGGAAGAAACAGTGACAAACTACTTCCGAATCGCTAGTCACTGAAAACTCTATGAATAGAAGAGAAACATTGTCAGATACAGGACTGGAAAGTGGGAAGGCACTCAGAATGCGACTGGGGAAAAAAATGCCTCCTCCAAGTAGAGAAAAGCTAACAGAACCTTCATTTGCTAATGGGCCACAAATCAAAATGCATTGAAAATCGGAACATGGAATGTACGAAGTATGAATCTGGGAAAATTGGAAGTTGTCAAAAATGAAATGGAATGCATCAACATCGATATCTTAGTCATTAGTGAGCTGAAATGGACTGGTATTGGCCATTTTTAATCTGACAACACATGGTTTACTATGCAGAGAATGACAAATTGAAGAGGAATGGTGTTGCATTCATTGTCAAAAAGAACATATCCAGATCAATCATGAGGTACAATGCTATAAGTGATAGCATAATGTCCATGAGCCTACAGGGAACCCCAGTTAATACCATGATTATTCAAATTTATGCACCTACCACTAAAGCCAGTGAAGATGAAATAGAAGAATTCTACCAACTTCTTTAGTCTGAAATCGATCAAACATACAATCAAGATATATTGCTCATTACTGATGATTGGAATGCAAAAGTAGGGAGCAAAGAGGAGG